TTTACAGCTACAAGGCAATGTATAATCAACACTTGTTCTAACGTTTTCATATTAGGCCATCCTAACTGAAGCAGCATAACTTATGGTGTAGGTACTATATTGATATTACCCATTCTGCTTAATATGGATTTAGCCATTTGCCAAAGAGGGACCACTTTTCCGCAATTCCACCATATATGTAGGTAATCTCCCTTACTCTCCCCACATCTCCAGCATGTATCGTCATTTCGAGGTGAAATTCTTGATAACTTGGATGGTACCATGTACCATTTATTAATCACTTTATAGTGTGTTTCAATTAAGGAGAGGCAGTGAATATGCTTATTTGTCTTAGCAATTGCGGCAAACCAATCCTCTTTGTCTATGGATATATCCAGGATTTTTTCCCAACTCTTAATAGCGGAAGAATAGACTTCCAAATTTCTAGAATCTATTAATTTCACACATTTAGAAAAAAATTTTTTGGTTTCTTTGCTGTTGAATATAGATTTTAAGGAATTATATGTGACTCCTCTATTAAAAATAATTTTTTCCCCCAGATAACTTTCTACTCTTAGATAAGAGAAGTACTCCCGATTTGGAAAATGAAATTCCCTCGATAATAAGTCGAAGGTTTTCATCTTATTATTGTTCGTTAATAAATCTCCTTTACTTATAATATTTGCTACTTTCCAGTTCTTTCAAGAAATATTTGGGATATCTGATTCAATGATTTCTATACTCTGAAAGTCCATGATCTTGTTATTAAGATCTAATTTATTTTTCCCCATATGGGTAATATATATTTTTTAATGCAAAAGAAGCAGAATAATCAACAGCTTTGCTGTTCCATACTACTCTAGATAAATCTTTGGTTTTACACATGTCTGATTCTAACCAATACGATCCCTCCGTATTAAATTTGTTCTTTTGTAACATAGCAACGTGGGAGATTATTCTAGCTTCATAGTATTTTTCTATATTCGGAAAACCTACACCTCCTGTTTTTATATTACTACTCACTGTGCTTGTTTTGATCCTAGGCTTTTTGCCTCTCCATACAAAGTTGGAAAAAGAGGATTTAATCATTTTTATCCACAAAGTAGGAATTGTTAATGGCAACATCCTAAATAGGTATGTCCATTTGGGGAGGATATAAGATTTCAAAGTATTGACTCTACCCCACCAAGATATTTCCAACTGGCACCATTCTTTTAGATCTTTATTAGTGGTTTTCAATAGGTGTATAAAGTTAATCTCTATTAATCTCTCTAAATTCTTGCAAATTCCAATCCCCAAATACACAAACTCCTCAGGATGGAGAAAGTTAAAATCTTTTTGAAACTTTTCAATTTCGACCAAATCTATATTATTATACAAGGTTATGGATTTAGTCATATTGAATTTATAATTAGAGACCTTACTGTAGTGTTAAATTTATGTTATTACTTGCGGGAGAGAGTTATTTGGGCTAGAAATATATAAAAGAATGTTGTCTGCATATAATGAAATTTTCCATTCTCCGTGGGAAGTAAAATATCCCCCTATTGAATTATTTTGTCTAATTTTGGATGCTAAAATGTCTACAGTCATAATATAGAGGATTGGGGAAAGGGGGCAACCCTGTCTAGTTCCATTTTCCAGTTTGAACCAGGTAGAACATATATTCTGACCTATTGTCCTTGCTGATGGTTCATTATACATAGACATAATGGCATTCAATATCCAGCCTGATATATTAAAGGCCCTCAGAGTTTTATTCATGAAGCCCCAGCTGACCCTTTCGAAGGCTTTTTCAGCATCTAACGACAGGATCAGCAGGGGACTCCTACTTTTACTAGACAAGTCAATTGTATCTATTAATCTTCTCACGTTATTTCCAGCATTTCTCTCAGGGACAAATCCAATCTGATCTGGGTTCTTAATTCCTGGTAATACAGTTTTTAGTCTTTTAGCAATAATAGAGGCAAACAACTTAACATCTACATTTATACGGGAGATAGGTCTTTAATTTTTTTACATCAGTTGGATCTTTTCCTGGTTTTAATATTGGTAAAATATTTGCCTGCAACATCTCCTGTGGAAATGAACCATTGATTACAGCATAGTTAAAGGTTCTAGTTAGAGGGTCTAAAATTATAGTTTTCATAAGTTTATAAAAACGGTTTCCAAACCAGTCTGGGCCAGGGGTTTTAAAACTAGCCAGTTTATCTATTGCTTCTGCTCCTTCATCTTTTGTAATTTCTTTGTTTAATACTTCTAATTGATCTGGGGTTATTTTTGGTAAGTCCAAATCCTTTAGATAATTGTCTATTAATTCGACTGAGGTCTTAAATGGTAGGTTATATAGAGCCTTATAAAATTGATATAAGGCTTCGCCTATATCTTTTGGTTATCTGCATATCTTTCCTTCATGTATTATTTTTTCTATTTGGTTATCTGCTCGTTTTTTTTTATTTTTTAATTTTTAGTTTTTATTGAATTTTTTGCACAGATAAAAGTTAAACAATAGGGTACAGAAGAAAAAAAGAGGGAGGGATGAATGGTTACAATTCGGTCAACACAATTCCGCTTTTAGTCACTTTAGTCGCTTTATACATTTGGTAGAGTTCACATTTTGTGCTACATAACGGAGTATGAGCATCAGGGTGGTTATATTCATGTTATTAACAGTAGTGTCGACTGTTTTCCCTTCTGCAGTTGGGACACAGTTGAGGTGTTTGTTTGTGGATTGGGTGAGCATGTGTCGTATTCGGAAAATGCGTGTTCATAGTTGCATTGGGGAGGATAACGGGGGGGAGGGAACATCAGGGGAGTAAGGGGGAGAACTGGAAACCTGGTATACCTAATTTACCACATCGAATATGCAGTGTGATGTAATGTGGGGAGTTGCGGTTGGGCGTATAATAGTAACTTATCCGTCCCATCATCTATAGCGTAATGGATCTCGAGTGGTGAGGCCCACTGTATTGTAGTGTATTGTGATTTGTTTTGTTCTTCCTCTAGAGCAATTATTTGAGTTTTTTCACTTCATTGTGGTGTGTATGCCAACTTGCCCACCTTTTAGTGTATGTCTCTGCTTGGCCGCCTAGTCTATAGCCATACCTTCATATTCTGAGACATTATCAATTCTATTCCATACTTCTTGGGGTGAGGGGGTGTGTGTGGTTTTCCAGTGGCTGGCTATACTAGTCTTTGTTGCTGTTAGCAGGTGTATAATAACATGTCTGTTGTTGTCTAGCAGCAATTCTGGGGAGAGGTGGAGTAAGTAGCATTCCGGTGTGAACGGTATTTTGTATATCGTTAAAATTTCCATAGCTTTTCCTATCGTTCGCCAAAGCTTGCTCAATAGTGGGCAATCCAAAAATATGTGTCTCATACTTCCTTTGTGGAGAGTGCATCTCCAGCATACATTTGAGACTGAGGGGTACATGTTCGCTGGCTTGGTAGGTACTAGGTACCACCTCATCAGTATTTTACAGTACGCCTCCCAGTGGGTCAGGATATGTGACATTTTTCTTGTAGTCTGAATTGTTTGCAGCCATACTGGATTGGGGATATTGATGTTTAGTTCTGCTTCCCATTGTTCTATGTATTTGTGTTTGCATAGTGGATCAGCGTCGTTTAGTGCTGTGTAGCATAGTGATAGTGGTTTTAGTTGTGGACGTTTGCCTATACAGTATAGCCCAAAGTTTGTTAGTTGTGTTTCATTGCATTGGCAGGTTTGTAGGGATTGGAGAATGTGTTTGGTTCTGATGTATGTGAAAATGTCCCTAGAGGGGAGTGCATATTCCTGTTGAAGGACTGGGAATGGTTTGAGGCCCATCTCTGAATATAGTTGTGCCACCGAGATTATTCCCTGTTGTCGCCACGATTCCATATTTATATCGTCCGCTAGTTCTGAGATTATTTGTATCGGGGCGAAGTATATAATGTTGTTTGTGCCAGTGAGTGGACTTGCCCATTTCCTCCAGCTGCTATTTAAGAATCTCGTACTGGCCATAGGTTTGTGTTTGTCGGGTTCCAATGGGTTAAAAGATCGCAGCATAGAGTTTATAGTGTGTGGTCGTATACAGGCATTTTCTAGGGGGGGCCAGATTATGGGGGTAGTGAGGGATAATGCATCCAGCCCTTGTGCCAGGACCGCTGCTCTATAGTATGCCCTAATGTTTGGAGTGCCGAGGCCACCTTTGGTTGGTGACAGCGAGGTGAGACGTCTGGCTATTCTTGGGGGTTTTTTCTTCCATATGTGTGCATTTAGCATGTTTTGGAATCTTTGGAGCAGTTTGTCTCCTAGTGGTATGGGTATGGTGCGGAACAGATATAGGATATGGGGTAATGCCATCATTTTAACAGTGTTTACTCTCCCTAGCCATGATATTTCTAGGTTTTGCCATTCTTCTACTTGTGCCTGGAGTTTGTGGGTTAGGGGAATGTGGTTTTCTCGGGTCAGCAGGCTGTGTGATTTAGTTAAATTAATTCCCAAGTATTTTAAGGAAGTTTTCCTCCAGTCAAAGGGGTGTTGTGTTTTGAGGGTCTGGATTACATTAGCGGTGATACCTATGGGTAGTGCTTGTGTTTTTTTAAGGTTATTTTTGTAATATGATACTCGTCCGTATTGTAGTAGAAGCTCTATCAGGTTTGGTATGGAATGAGTAGGGTTTGTGAGGAAGAGGAGTACGTCATCTACGAAGAGGGCTATTTTGTTAGTCCCTGCTGGGGTGAGTAATCCCTCTATTCCCTGGTGTTGTTTTATGTGGAGTATAAGGGGTTCCAGATAAAGTATAAACAAAAGTGGTGACAGTGGGCAACCTTGGCGCGTGCCGTTGCTAATGTGAAATTTATCTGATATGAATCCCGAGTTGAAGATTCTTGCTGAGGGGGAATGGTATAGGGCCATAATGCCTCTCAGGGTTTGTGTTGTGAATCCCATTTTAAGTAGTGTAGCTTTCATGTATTCCCAGTTCAGGCGGTCAAATGCTTTTTCGGCATCGAGCACCAGAACTGTTCCTACTTGTTGGCTAGTTTTTGCCCAGTTGATTAGATTTATAAAGGGCCTGGTGTTGTCTCCTGCCTGTCTCCCGGGGACAAATCCCGCTTGTTCTATGGAAACTAATTCTGTAAGGTGAGTTTTCAGTCGTAGTGCCCATAGTTTCGCATATAGCTTGATGTCTGCGTTCAGCAATGATATAGGGTGTAGGTTTTCACATTGTGTAGGTGGCTTGCCTGGTTTGGGCAGTGTGACAACATGTGCTTCTAGCATTTCCGTTGGAAGGGCTCCTGACATTTTTATGGTGTTAAATAATTTGTTGAGATGTGGTGTTAGGAGTGTTTCTTATTTATGATAGTAGTAATTGGATAATCTGTCTGGGCCCGTAGCTTTGTGTTTGGGAAGGGAGAGAATGGCCCTACGAATTTCGTCGTCTGTAAATGAGGCGTCTAGTTGTGTGCTTCCTTGTGTTGATAATCGCGGCAGCGATATATCCTCTAGGGAGGCTTCTATATCTCTGTCGCTTGGCTGTGGTAATGTAGGGTCATTCTTAAGGTTATATAGCCGATCACAGTATTGTGCCAGTTCGTTGACAATGTCTAGTGGGTTATATAGCGTGCTTCTCGTGGGGGATTCAATGTATGGAATTTTGGTTTGCAATTGTTTCTTCTTTAACCTGTTAGCTAGTATTTTGCCTGCTTTGTTCCCCTGTGTGTAATATTTGAGCTTGAGGGATCTCATCCATCGTTCGGTAGTTATTAGGTCAAGTGCATGCATTTCTTTCTGCACTTCGATAATATGTGCGGTTAGTTTTTTGCAAGGGTTGGTTTTATTTTGTGTTTCTAAGTTTTTTAATTCTTGTTGTAGGGATTTGTAGGTGTTAGTTGTGCTTTTTTTGCATTTCTAACCTTCTCTGATAAATATGCCTCTCGTGACTGCTTTGTGTGCGACCCAGACAGTTGTGATTGGCGTGGACTCTATTGTGTTGTGTGTGAAGTATTCGGATGCCTCCTTGGTTACTATGTCTAGTAACTTGTGGGTTATCCAGTAAGTCTTCGTTTAACCTCCACTTCCCTCTACCCCTTGTTTGGTGAAGGGATCGGAATGTGATTGTCAGTGGGGCGTGATCTGACCAGGTCCTCTGGCCTATTTGTATTTCATCTATGTTTACTAATGTGGCCTTGTCTACTAAGCACATGTCAATTCTGGAGTAGGTTCTATGAACCTGCAAGAAATACGTGTAGTCTTTCTCTTGCGGGTATGATAAATGCAGTTTGAGCCTCATTTGGGGCGTATAATGAGACAATTGTAATTAGCATGCCATTCAGGTTACCCACTAGAATCAATAGTCTGCCCATTTTGTCTGTGTGTCTCTTGTTTTCTTGAAATACCCAGTCTTTGTGGAAGAGAATGGCAACTCCCCTGGATTTGTGGGGTAAGAAAGCGTGGAATATTTGGGGGTACTGGTTAGAGCGAGGCTGGGGTGGATTGCAGATGCAGAAATGAGTCTCCTGGAGACATACAACAGCGGACTTTGAGTTATGCATAGCTTGGACAGCCAGGCGTCTTTTATGTGGGCTGTTTAGGCCTTTCACATTGAGGGAGTGTATATTAAATGTGGCTATCGACATACTATTATGTGAGTGAGGGTTTGCTCATGTAACCTGTGCCAATAGGGTTCGTTTGTCAGGTTCGTGAGGTTGTCTTGGTTTAGTGTGTGTTTGTCGTGTTTTGTAATACTGTGCCTGTTTGGTGGTTGTTTCTCATGTTGATGTTTGTTGTTTTTTCTCGGATGTGGTTCGGGCGGCAGTTCAGATTGTTCACGTGTCAAGTTAGTTTCGTGTGTTTGGGACATAGTCTTAGGTATACTTTCAAAGAACAATATAAAACATATCATTACAGTTTTTAAAAACAGGGTTAAACTTAAATGGAAAGAACTTAGGTTAACCTGCATAGCGCGCAGGGGCATATTTTGCCTCTCGTTGGAGGCTGCCTTCTTTCTAACGTCGGGCAGCTGGGGTGTGGGTTTCCGCCGCCTGTCGGCCTTTAATGTTAAATATGCTCATTGACCAGTACACGTAGCACCTGTGGACCCTTTTTATACACTTGCTGTTAATCTTTTACCTCTTATCTGAATAAATACCAGTTTGGGTCAACTTTTTGTCTAAATGAGGAGCTTCAGGCCCCCTAACATCATCGACTGTGGCCCCTATAAAGCGCTCTGACCATCTGAAATTTGTGAGTGCAATAGAATACCTGATTGATTATTTTCAGACAATATTGCACTGTTATATCCTTGATTTTAGGTATATTAGCAGAATACCTAAACTACCCACGTTGAATATAACAAAGCGCAACCACACTCTACCTAAGCACATTATGCACTATTCTTCAACTGTGTTATTGTTGCAGATAGGCCATTTCTCCAATTGGTTTTCAATTCAATACAGTTCACTGAATAAAAACACTCCGACTTTAAACTACTTAAAAAACTCAAAACTAAGACGGCATCTAAAAGCTCTACATGGCTGTCTAACCCTTTAAGGACCACGTTATTTCCCATGCAAGCATGTATATCAGGGCTTTAAATATGATACTCTAATTACTATAGCACCCTGAAGTGGTTATGGTGCCAGGAATACAGTCACGTGTATGCCTGGTGACTGCAGTCCTTCCAGTCTGAGTTAGTACAGCAAAGAGGAAGTTCATTAAAGGGACACTCCAGGCACCAGTACTATTTTAATACATTTGATAGGTTTTGGCCTCATTATAAGCTTTTTTTTTTGCATGTTCAAATCTTTATATAGTTTTTGCACCATATGCCTGCCTCTTTAGTCACACCCTTTCACTACAGTACAAAACTTCCTACACAACAAAACAATCTGCATTAGGAAAACCCATGGAGGCATATAGCAAGGATTTAATTTTCTGATTGTAGTTTCTATGTTTGCAATCAGGTTGTGAAGTAAAAGAGGCTCACACTGTGCTATTGAAGCGGAGACCTTGGGCATATTTTTGATAATGAAGTATTTCTAATAATTCATTACTATAATGGTCTCTTTGCTTGCTAGACAAAGTTTTAGGCAACTTTATTGTTAGGCCGTATCTGTTCCGGCTCCGTTCCGGCGTTTCCGGTATGCAGAGCTAGCCCCGCCCCCTTTCTGACGCGGCTCTCTTATGCTATATAGAGAGACCGCACCAGATTCAAACCGCTTGGTGATTCTCGGACCTACTTCCGCATTCAAACGCCGGCTAAGCTCTTCGTTCACAAAGTTACCAAACCTTTGACTATTATAAAAGATTTTGCCTTCTCTGTACCTCTGACCACGGATTGTATTGGGGTCTCCTGAAAACCGGACTGTGTATATCATTCATCCCTTGGATTCAAGCTATACATTCCCATGGAGGACAACTCCCATCAATCTTAAGTATACTAATTATTCTGATCTCTGAAGACTTACTTACTAATGAACTGTTTCTTGCTTGCTATAATCTTCAGTTACTTCCTAATGAATTGTTACTTACATGCTATTCCCATGGAGTACAACTCCCATCAATCTCAAGTATACTATTCACTTCCACCTCTGAAGATTTAATTACTAATGAACTGTTTCTTGCTTGATATAACCTGCAGTTACTTCCTAATGCATTGTTATTTGCATGCTATAATTCTCAGTTACTAAAATATTATTGCATTCATTAAGACTTCACTTTTTTCACTAACTGCCTGCATCCACCACTTTGCTTTAAAGCTACAGTATCCTTAATAATTCTCCGCTTTCTTGCTATTGTAATTAAGGAGTTCTACAAGCTGCAGTTGAGTTTCAATTCTAAAACCCCTTGTAGCATAACTGAATCACCAAGCCCTAACATGGAACCAGCAGATGTGAATTCCCAAATTAACTCTTTAACCCATAGAGTTGACATACTCACTCAAGGCATGCAGGATTTACAAATTGCTAATGAGAGACTTCTTTCTTATATTAGAGAAATGCAAAATAAGGTTACTCATACTTCAAGTGACCCTGCTGTCTGCAACCCTGAAAAGTTTTATGGAGATCGCTCCAAATATAGAGAATTTCTGAATTCTTGTAAATTATTGTTTACGCTTAAACCCAGGTCATACCCCACTGACAGGTTTAAAGTCTGTTCAATAATATCCTACCTTAGGGGAGAACCTATGTCCTGGGCACACTCTTTTCTGGAAAATGAGGATCCCATACTGGATTCATTAGATGATTTCATTGAAGCAATGTCACTTCTCTATGAGGACCCAAATAAACAAGCTACTGCTGATCTTACTATTAGATCTTTACAACAAAGAAATCAACCTGTGGAAGATTATATAGCTGAGTTCAAAAGATGGGCTTCGGAAACCCAATGGAATGATATAGCTTTGCACAATCAGTTCCGTCTAGGATTATCTGAAACAGTTAAAGATGAATTATCTAGAACCACTCTCCCCCCAACGCTTGATACATTAATTCAACTCTCTATCAGTATAGATAGAAGAATCAGAGAAAGTAAAACTGAGAAGGCTCTCACTAATTCACTTTGGAAAAAACCCAGTCCTCCCTTGCGAATTCCTAATAAACCCCTGCAACCAATTGAACCAATGGAAGTTGGGTTTATGAGGGGACCTTTATCTCTTGAAGAAAAAACAAGAAGGAGAGTATTAAATCTCTGCATGTATTGTGCCTCTAATGAACACCTTTTACAAGAATGTCATCTAAGGGAGGTAAGGCTAGAATTAATACCTCAATACTGAAAACCCTTCCCTCTTCCTCATCTCATCAGTTTGCTGTATCTCTAATTTTACAGTGGGACAAAGACAGAATCAAGACTGAGGCCATTATTAATTCTGGAGCTAGATTCTTCGTTTGTTGAAAACAATAAAATTCCTTGTGTGCAAAAAGCATCTTTTGTCTCCATCAGAGTTATTGATGGTTCTTTAATCCCCTCTGGTCCCATAAAAAATTAAACTATTCCTATTTTGACCACTATCAATAATAACCATTCAGAATTTCTCATTTACGATATTATAAAATCCCCCCTTTTTCCAATCATCTTAGGTATCAACTGGTTTCAAACTCATAATCCATTGGGCTCCTTTCTCTCTCTCCTTTGACTCAGATTATTGTAAGGACAATTGTCTCCCACAGATTCCTATACTACAATTAAGTCAAGAAACTTTAATACCGGAACAATATTCGGATTTCTCTGATGTGTTTA